GATGTGGTAACTTCTGAAAACAGGTCATAGTTTCATAGTTTCATAGTTTGTAGGGTCGGAAGGGACCTGAGCAGATCATCAAGTCCAACCCCCTGCCATGGCAGGAAAGAGTACTGGGGTCAAACAACCCTGGTAAGGTTTTCATCCAGCCTCCTCTTAAAGACCCCCAGACCCTTACCTGTAGTCAACCCACCACAGAAAAGAACTCTGTACACAGGATTTAAAATTCAATCTCACCACTCTAAAAGATTGTATTGCTCTGAGAACCTCACTTCATGCTGTGAGTTAAGACTCTGATATCCAAGTGAAACACTGTAGGATCTTCATGCCCACAAGTGGTAAGGTTCTAAGTTTGCAGCTCATTTGAAAGATGAAAAGTCCTCCAGCACCATGCTGGGACATTCTTTCTGCATGTACTAAAAAGGAAAATTGCTTCTGAGTGAATTATTGCCATGAGCCTTGCAGTACTTGACCTACTACATGGAATGTTCCCATTCATTCACTGACCTACTTCAACCCTGGTTAGTTTATGAGAACTACAGAGATCAGAACTCTAAATCACATGACTTCAAAATCATAAATAGCATAGGTTTTCCATCAAAATGAACACAGCTGAAAAAAATTAGTAGAGATCAATGTTTTCCAAAAACACACGATCCATACAATACAGAAATCACTATCAGCCTTTAGGAATAGCCTTAGGGTGCCCAGTGCTTTTATAACCCATTAAGCTATCTTAATTTGTACATCCTTATCAGGGTTCCGCCATTTCAATAGTCTTCAGAGGCCTGTTATCTGAACATACAGCATTCCATACCAGTGACTCTGCAATCAACAATAGAATATAATGAAACAACTGTAATAGCACCGTGTCCCCACTTGAGAGGTATGTAATTCAATAAGTTTTGTTAGTTCTAGTTCTTCCTAGTTTAAGCAATACCAGGAATGCTTGCCTGTGTTTTCCATTATGATAAATATGAGGCATTTCAGTGATACACATAGACATAAACTCTGCCATACTTCCTGTGAAACAGCAAGTTCTAAATATGAAGAAACATTAAACTACCTGGGTCAAATGCATTCCTCAGGTCTACCAATTTGAAAACTAAATTATGTTTGGTGTAGCTAACAGACTTTTTTTTAACTCTCCCTGCTCCCATTTGGGGGCACTATATTCTTAGCTCCATGATTCTTTGGTGAGTCCCATAGTAGTTCTTGCTTTTTTCCAAGGTCAACCCAATCTTATCCTTATGTGAAAACCTTCAGTCCCTGCTGAAAAGACAAGAAAGTGTTTGCAGGGCTCATGATTAAAGAAAAGCTTAAAACATGATCCCACAGGTGTCAACAATAAAAAACTCATTTGCTATTTTCAAATGTCCTTACTTAAGCTAATCTTATATTTTTGCAGCAAAGTTGTAAATAATTTACAAAATATAATAATTTTAAATTATTTTCACAATTAAATCAAAACATTTAACCCCCACAAGAACAGAGCTATTTTTTTTTTTTTTTTTTTTTTGTAGAATTAAGGAATCCCCTGTTGCTTTTCCAGCCCAAAGGCAAGAAGGCCAGAAAATTAAACTAACTTGAGTTTGTATATCTAAAACTCAATTGCATTTTAAATAGAAAAGAACGAAGAAATTCTGGAAAGCAAAATACACTTTTAATATAATTTCATTTTTAATAAATTAGTTTGTTATCACTTGTCCAAAAAGGCAGTATTTTCTTTAAAAATGTAGGCTTATATTTCCTCTCTCCATTAGGTTTTTATGGGTATGTCCACACATCGCCATATGGTGAAGTTGCTATGACACTGCTTTTGGAAGTACTAAAGCATAGCGCAGTATGGATAGTTACTGCTGTGTGCACGCAGTGCATGGATAGATTTTTCAGCTGTGTCACCATAACAGTGCGCTATACCTGAGGAGCACACCACTTTGGCAACATAGCTGGCAATCATGTGTTGAAACATGTGATCACTATGTTGCCCTAGCACGTCGTATGGTGATGTAGCGTGTCACTACATCACCATAGGATGATGTGTAAATGCGCCCTATGTTTTCCACAGAGCTAATTTTCCAGCTTTTCAGCCTGGAGGTCAAAGTGGATTACAGATTCTCTATGGACATTACATGTACACGAGCTGGTTCCTCATCAGGTGCAGAATATAGTTTCAGTGAAAGCAGTGAAGTTACATCAACCCTACACTGGTGAAAATTGGGCTCATGAGCCTAATAATGGGGAATATTATAAGGATAAAATATCTAGAGACCAATGTGTCTCCATTTTACATATATAAATAGTACAGAGAAGTCAGTGGGCCTAGGGTAAGTAGGCCAGGGCAGATGGGGCAACCACCACGGGTGCCAAGTGGTGGCATGAGGAGCAGGTGCAAAAAAAGCATCTGCTGCCAGCAACCACACAAATTGTAAATTGTGATTGTGGAAGCAACTGAAAGTTGCCCCTGCTTCTATGCCTCAGGCTCCCAGCTGCATCCTTATGCTGCTGCATGAGGTTTAGGGATGATTTCGGAAATATGGCAGGCAGGCACTGTCCAACACAAGGGGCTGGCTTGGTTACATAAATACAGAGGACAGGGATGACACAGACAAACCTCTTACTTAGCTGCCTAACCAGTGTGAATTGCCCACAGCTAACCAGTGTGACTAATCACCAGTTTGGGTCAGGAAGAAAATTTCCCTAAATCAGGTTGGCAGGATCCTTTTCTTCTTTCTAATCCTGCAGTATGTGGAATGGATTGTCTGCTTGGCCCAACTGAACCCTAACCAATTACCTGCCATTTCAGGTGCCCTTCATTGCCCTGAGGACTGAAAGGCTTTGTTCTAGCTAAAATCAATGTATGAATATCCAGGTGAAAAATCATGGTTTATGATATATATAGGTTAGATAATCAGACTAGATAACCTAGTGGTCCCTTCTGGCCTTAAACTCTAAAGCAGTGTCCAGACGAGCAGGGGTGTGTGGTTTACAGTGCCACAGACTTCTCTGTGGTGCCACAAACCACGTGCATTGCACGTTAAACCATGAACTGCATTGCTGATTTGCATCATGGGGGCAAAATTTGCTAATGGAATTTCCCTGGGAAAAAAACCCTGGAAAAAACTGGCATAAAGCACATGAAAATAGTGTGCACCGTGACAAACGCAGAGATGGGGGAGCAAGCAGCCCATAGCTGCCTACTCCCCTGTCTCCACCACTGCAGAGCCCCCATGCTGAGGCATGTGGAGACAGGAGAGTACTACCCCAGGGCTGCTTGCTCCCCCATTTCGAGGCACACTGTGTGTCAAAGTGGAGGATCTGCAGTGCATGGAGACTGGGGAGGACATAGCCCAGGGCTGGGGTACAGGGTGCTCTAGCCAGCTTCCCACCCCTGGCCCCCACAGCACATGGAGCCCAGCTAGGATCCATGAGGAGCTGGGCAACAAAGGGCCTGTAACAAAGGGCACATGCAGGGACGAGCGTTGTGCACAAAGTAGTGGCACAAATTTGTGCTGTTACTATATGTGCCACTGCAAGTGCATGCCCTTGCTTGTCTAGACACAGCCCAAGAGTCCATGCTGCATTTCTTTCAACTCTAGCAACACTACCTACCTGCCTGCCATGTCTGCCTGAAAAGGTTTTTGAGCCATACAATGCTGCCAAAAAGGCTTCCTGGAAGTATGTGTATGGGGGAATACAAGAAAAAAAAAACCTGTTGGTGTGTTTGGGCACACGTATGAAAATGTGTGAGAGAGAAAGACCAACAAAGTCCTCTCTTACGTCAGGTCTTTGAGCAGCTACCCAACTTTGCTGATACCGCGTACTGGCCTGGTTTCTTGATTCATACATTCCTAGATTGTTAGGGCTGGAAGAGACCTTGCTCTAGGCAGGATTAAAATTTTAAAAACTATGATTGAGACATTACATTTCTTCAAGCTAAAGTTTGTTACAAAATATTTTAGTTTTATTGTTGGTTCTATACACTAAAGTAATTGTGTGATTATCCGAGACATTAATTGCATAAGAGACTTTTAATGGAAAAGTGTGTGTGTGCCTGTGCATGCACATGTGTGCATTATAGCATCTATGCCTTCAGAGCCCTTAAATGTAAGAGGAAAAGTGCTTTCCAAAGCAACAGGAACAAGCAGATTAAACAGCAATTATTTCTTAAGATGAGGACCAGGACTCCAGGGGAGGCCATTAACATGAATCAACAATAACTTCACCCCTTATGATAGCATTCTAAGATGATTTTTTTCCCCTATCTCACTGGATATAGGTTGTAATTATTTGGCTGTGTCCTTCAGACAGACCCTATGCTGCTGTAGTCCTGTTTATGTTTTACTGAAACCAGAGATTGGTGTGGTACCCCTGCCTGATACATTCAACAGCACTGCAACTCTGTTCCACCTGATATGGAGGTACTTGACTTAATACACAGCTCTTTGAGGAAAAGAATCCTACAGCTCTGGTGAGCATAATATGAATTACATCTCATCTACTTACTGAGTGGGTATACTGTAGCCTTACCTCCTAACAAGGGCTGTTCTTAATCAAGAATACAGTTCTTTAGTTGCCATGCTAAATAGCTTATATTCATACAATGTTTCATCTAAGAATCTCTTAGATTAGTTATAAAACTACCGCACCTAAAAATTAAATTACTCGTCCAAAATCACACAGCAAGTCAGTAATAGAACTGAGACTTGAACATTGTTCTTTTGACTCACCACCCAACCCCTAGTCCAGGGGTGGCCAACCTGTGGCACATGGGCCACAAGTGGCACGGGCAGCCTGTGTATGTGGCATACAGCAGATAAGGGAGGGAACAGGCAACATAGTGGTAGATATGACAGGGATTACAGGACAGAGCAGTAAGAGCAGCAGATTGGGGAGACAGAAGGGATTGGAGTGGTACTTAGTGAAGGTGTAGGGTTAATTTGTAGCATGCCTGCCAAAAAGGTTAGCCCACGCTGCCATAATGTAATGATAGAGCCTACCACTTAATATAGTTTTCTTGTAATTCATCTTCGCTCCAGCTGTTCCAAATCACAATCCAATCCTAAACTTCTCTCTGGTCCTTTGCACTGATCCAGGCTCTCACATATCGGGTAAACAGGTTCACTTGACTTTACTACCTGTTCAATCACAAATGACATACTCAGAATTTTATGTTTTTTCTTCCTAAAACAGACATTATACTGTGTTATAACCATCATCAGATCTACCTTAAGCAGTTGAAAAATAAAGTGATAATTAACTTTGAATGCTTTTCTCCTTGCATTTATCAATCATAGTATTACCATAAAAGCCTCATAAAAAGTGCTAGCCTCCCTTTCCTACTGAAGGAAAAAAAACCAAAAACTTACAATCTTCCACTGTAATAAGGTTTAACTTTGTAAGACCTCCAAGCAGAAAACAAATTTCAGAGCCACCTGGTCAATATTGGGGAAGGTCAGTGACCTAAGACTGTCAGAGGCAGACAGAATACCTAGCACAGCTCATGTGTGATATGTAAAGACCTTCAGGCAATTTGTTGTGCCTTATGGGGTGGAAAGCACTGCAGCCTCAGTGACAAGCCAGAGCAGTGATAAACCCATGTTATAAAGCTAATCGAGAACTTTGCTCATCATTTTTGCTTAATGGTAGTGTAAGGCAGACAAAACAAGGGAAAACTGTTCTTGAAATAGCTGTCATTTTAGTACGTGCCATAAAATGTTTTATTGGGCGGGGGTGGAGTGGGCAAACTGAAGAGATGCATTAACATTGCTTATGGTGACTAGCAGGGGGAACCTGTTTTTCATCAGGTTTTATATTGACTGCCTGAGGAGATTATTGAGTCAAGTAGTATGTATGGATTTGATTAAAAATAAAAAACCTGGTTAATGTCATAACCATTATCATTATCCATACTTACACCTGTTGTAGAAGAGTTTTCATTGTAACAGATATAAAGGAGATCCTTTATTGAGGTTGGATGGCATGCATAGACCCTGGGGTTCTCTCTGTGTGTTTAGTTTCCAGATTGATTAAAAACAGCCTGAGCTGTCTGTCATTATCACACAAGGTTTCCTTAAGTTCTAGTTTGGATTCAACAGTCTCCAAAGGGACTCACTGTGCTAAAAATAGGGGTAATCACACTTTAATTTCAGGTCATAAGCTGATTGCTAAAGGATCAGAGACCAAATCCCTTTTCCTCTCACATAAAGTACAACATATTTCTGTGGCTATACTATGTGGCATTTTCAGTTTCATTTGAAGCATCAAGTATTGGGCACTCCTGGAGGCAAGACACTGGACTTAATGGTTGTGTGAGCTGATCCAGTAAGGCAAAAACCTATGCTCCTCTCCAGCATGCTGCTAGATCTCTATTTAACTGCAGCTGCCACCGTAGTGATCATATTGTGTGTAATGGTGTGTCTGCCTTAGGGAATTTATGGGCATGCAGTACAGGCAATGGGGAAGGGGGATGTGCGTGGGGTAGACAAATCAGCCAGGATGTATAGACATTTTGAATCACTGGCAATCCCCCCAGGGCTGTGCTGCAGAGAAAAAAAAATGAGGGAGTGAAGGAGCTGACAGCTGACACACTGGATGATCAGTTTCTTTCTGAAACGAGGAAAGTAAAACAACACTCAACAGTGATGAAAAGAAGTAAAAAAGCAGTCCTGAACTATCACTTCTTTCAGTGTTCCAGAGATTGGCTTAGTGCCCAATGCAAAATTACATCTGAACTCTCACACAGTCTGAGCAGCTCCAGGAAAAAGGCTGGGCCGAGCAAGCACTTGAAGAGCTGAGCTGACCATTTCCATTTGATCCTAAAAGCAGTTCAAGTTCTCAACATAAGGATTCAAGGATGCAATGCAAAACTAAACCTTATAAATAAAAATATTACTTTATATTGTTTCAGGTAAATTTAGTGGAGGTTAAAGGTGTTGAAATGACCATGAAGGAGGCTGCTTATTAACCAAGGAAATGGGCAACTATTAGTAATGTTTCTCCAGTGATGCTCTCCCACCTATGTGCCTTGTCATAAACCTGGAGGGACCAGTGGACACCTTTCAATATTTTGCAATGAAGCCTTTAACACTCACTGCTATAGGATGTCATTGGGACTAAACTCTTAACAGGAGTCTAGAAGAATAATGGATGAGTGTACAGATAATATCAACATCCACAGATACTGTAAGGATCTTAAAAAATTACAACTCAACATTTTGAATAAAGGCTACAAACTCCCAAGCTTCAAAGAAACAGGTGATCTTTTCTTGATGGGACCCTGGAGGCAACTTCCTCTGGGCATACTTTATTCCATCCCTGCAAACTATAGGATTTCTTACACTTTCCTTCAAATAAACTAATATTGGCCACTCACAGACAGGAGAATGGATTAGGTAGACCCCTATGCTAGTATGGTAATTCTATATCCTTTGCATTCCTCTTCCTACTGAGGTGCATATAAAAGAGGGATACAAATTAATTCCAACTTCCAAGGAAGACAGCTATGTTTTCCATAATAGAGCATTACTTCTATGTGATCTAAAATAACATGAGTCCTCAAATGCATTTCACTGAAAAAAAAATAATTGTTTCAAATTCAGCTCCTCCTCACCTGCTTGTCAAAACTCATATTTTTATTGCAACAATAGCTGAAATTGCCTGCCTATTTGAGCAGAGCCGTCAGCTGTTCTTTAATCTGCTTTATAGACACTATACATGTATTGAGTGCTTTAAAATAATCAATAACCTGGACTCAGTGCTTGTTAAAAAAAAAAAAGAGCAGGCAGTAGTTTCCATTTCTTCTTTGTTTCCAGTTTCATTTTCTTCTCTTATTTTGAGCTTCAAGGACTCTCACAGAAGTGTTGGGGCCATGTTGCTGGATGAAGGAATTTCATTAGGCTAAGATGACATTTTAAGGCTTGTTTTAATCATTCTAGAGCAATTGCTTTCTGCTTGGAATAATTCTTTTAAATAGTAGTTGTTGCAGAGCACAATCAAGGCATCTCTTAGCAGGATATAAGAAATGATCATAGACTTCTCTGATAGTTATTCGTACTCTGCAATAGGGTAGAGGTTGGGAGAGAATAGGGCTCCAGAGTGAAGTGGTCTGAAGTTGCCAATCACAGAAACACTGAGTGGCTGACTTTTGCATAGAATTTAATCAAAAACAGACTCCAAGTGGATATACTGCAGTCTAAAGTGGCTCAGCATCTCTTTTTGCAAACAGCAGCCATCCCAGCTCCTGTAAGCTTAGCCCAAGATAAACCTATGATCTCTATTTCCAACTTAAAATACATGCACAGCCTATCTCCTGAGTGTATACAAGGGCATTGCAGCCCCATTTCCAGCTGAACCACATCTTGAAAAAAGTAGGAAATATTAAAAAAAAAAGATCCTGGAATATGAGAGTCAACAATATATTCCTTGTTTGCCAATTACTTCAGATCTGTTTCTTGCCAGAAACCAACTGTGCCTCAGATTCACCTCTAGCTCTGTATTTCTGCAATTTCTGAGATGCTGAGTGACCTAGTGTTCCTACAGATTTACTGTAATCGTATTGCAAACAAATTTACACCAACAGGCTGATTTTATTACCAAGCAAGGCTCAATTCTCAAACACTAAATTATACAAGACAGTTTTAACTTGTCCTTCTGCAACTTTGCAAGAGTCATCACTTGCATACACAATTGTTAGTACTATTACCAGTGTGTGACCACATGTAAAATCCAATTTGTCTTAGAACTACCCCACAAATTCTGTTTCCTGCCTGCAAAATCTATTGTTTGTTTGCAAAGTGAGGGAATGAAAAAAAAAAGTCTAATCACTTGTACACAAAGAGCTATATGCACCTGGAGGTTTCATTTTGAAAACATGATCCAGAGAATCTAACCTCCTTCTTAGATACTAACAAAGAGAAATGTAATTTCCTAATTACAAATACTTTGAAGAGTAAGAAAGGCCTAAGTTAAATGAGCTTGTTCAGATCATTACACTCCACATTAAATTTTGCATTAAAGAAGATTTTATAAGGCTTTACTGACAAAAGAAAACTAATTTAATGAAAAACAGCAACTGTTTTTTTTAACATTTTAACATTACCCTGCAGGGCTGTGGTCCCAAATATCAACAATGTACTAGTCTATGAACACCAGAAAGCAAAACTGACGAGCTGAGATATGTTGTCCAAGCTAACTGAAGTGCAAAGAGCACACATTCTCAATGTGAACTAGCTATTTAAAATTCTGTCAGCTTTAATAACTTAGGTTATTATTAGTAACACAATGTGAGCAGGCATCTTTCCCAGAATTCTCAAAAAACCAAACAAAATCCACACAATATGTAGAGTTCAAAAATCCATGCCCTCCATGAAGTCTCACTTTGTTGCAACACAGAAATTAATAACATTATATAGAATAATGTAACATAACGCAACATAAAACAGAATAAAACTTACAGTTCAAATTTTCTCCCAAAGGCTTAGATACAGGTATATTTCCTCACTCAGGACACCCTATATCCCCGACCCCCAGAGACCCATTCTTTCCCTTATATATAGGTAGGGCAATGAGCTGCCTGTATCTGTCACAGTGTTGTTATTGCTAACCTTCATGCTTTACCGTGGGCATTGATTTATTGTTTTTGTTAATAAAAATAATATTATGAATTATCATGGCATGTCAAGTTCTTATGCTCAAAATGTTTTTTCTTTCTTTCTTTTAGGTGTGTGTGCAGGGGGTTGGGGGGTGGTGTATACAACATCCTAGTGCTGCCCAGCCGGGGCAGGGTGTGGGATGGAGCAGCGAGTGGCTTTTTTTTGGGGGGGGTGGGGGGGGGGGGGGGGGGGGGGTGTATACAACATCCTAGCCATATCACATTATTTCAAAGGAGACTGAGGTTAAATGTCTTTTAGCTTACATTTTAGGTAGTGTTTTGCTGTAGAATAGAGGCCACCCCCAATAAAAAGATGTCTCTCATCTTTTGTTATTTTAAATGACATAAAAACCAGGCTGCTATTCTGAATAATATGGTTACTGGGGCTAAATTATAGTCAGCTATAGGGAACAATTTTTTTTTAACATAATGCTTTGTGCAAGTATCTTTGGGAAGAGGTTAAGTTTGTCAAGTATTCCAACAAAG